AAACCTAGAAGAACACTTATAGAGTTCTCTTTGGTGGATTTGCTTGTGGTAATGGTTTAAGTGAGCGCGGCATCCACCTTAATTATGTGGTCTTTTGTTCTCAAATTCTTCATTCAGTGAAAGCAGCCCCATTTTGTTGTAACTATAATTTTGATGATTATAAAACATATTTAAGTGACTAATTCATTCATTTAAGTGTGTAGTTAAATTGCTAAAAACTTGCATAATAAGTAAACTTGGACTGCACTAAAAATAGACCAAAAGACTTGAAAAATGTGCAAAGAGTCGACTCTAAGAGTTGTAGCTGGCTCTCCAGGTGAAAATTTTAAGTCTATTGTTTGGGTGCGCACGGGAAACAAACACAAAACCAACTCTGACTTCGTAGCCACCTGTAATGATGCATTTAATGCATAACGATCGACTTATTTGAAGATTAATTAATGTTTTTAAAGTCGAAATCCCAAAACTGACTTTACGTTTTACAGTCGGTTGTGCAAGAAAACAAAATGTGCAAGAAACCCACAAAACTGGCTCTAAGAATCTAAGTTAGCTCTATGGGAAAACAGAATATGCAGGAAACCCACAAAACCGACTATGGAGCCAACTCTAGAAGTTTAAGCCGACTATCCTAACAAATCTGCAACTTGAATTATGTGACCTGCAGAACATTAAATGACTCCCAATAGCTAGTAATTGCTATTTTCGACCATGGGGTTATAAATATAATTCATAGAAAATCTAAAACAAGTTTGACAAGCATTGTATTAAATACCTTTACCTACCAACTTGTTCTTTAACTTGAGATTTTAATTTTTGAGAGATCTTTACTTGTAATCCTTTTCTTGTTCTATTTGTGAGTAATCTTGAAAGTGTGATTATTCCTTCAAAAGTGATTTGTAGAGAGGATTGTTTGGATTTATCTTGTAAATGAGTGAGATTTAAAAGAAATACTCATCTTCTTATAAAAGGATTGAGTGACTCCTTTAAGCCACCCTTGTTCTTGATAGTGGAGAGTGTAGAGTGTAAAAGAAATCTTTGGTGAGTGAAACCAAGGTAGAGTACTAGGCTCCAAGCGATTGGACCAAACTTCTATAAAATTATTAAGCAAACAAGCTCTTATTCCTTACTCTCTTTAATTCTTTGTTTTGTGGTTGTAGAGATGACGAAATTTTTTAACTCCAGTTCATCCCCCTTTTGGAGTGCATTGAGCCAACACATTCGCGTGCAGAATACAAAAATATGATATGCTATAGAGAGAAATAAAATTGTTCTCAAACAATCCAATCACCATGTCTTCTTCCTGGTCTGCTCATGTTACATTATTTCTCCTAGCATAACATAATGATACCAAACTAGGAATGCACCAATTATGTGTAACAGAAGCCATAATACTTGTCCAAATAAACTAAAGTGCCATGGAAATCAACAACAGTTTGTATATGAAACAAGAGTTTTATGTGAAAAGTGATCTATATACCTCCGCCTCTTGAGCCATCTCCTCGACGCTTCTGTCCTTCCTTTCCTTGTCTAAATCAAGCTTTTCCTTTAATTTCTTCTCCTTCTCATCTATCTACAGAACAAGTGACAAGCAGAGGAAGAGTCAGTTAAGGATTAAATTATGGAAACAATGGAAGTACAATAGACATGATATAAAGTCTCACTGCATCATAGATTTCATCATTCCTCTCAAAGTCACCCACTTTCCTTGGGAGGATGTGAATGTGAACGTGAGGTACTGTTTGTCCTGACTGAGGTCCATCCTAATTAAAGTAGACACCAGACAAATAGTTTTAACATCATAAGAACGTATAAAATTTATCTAGCAGCATTATTACATTGATACATAATTTATATATAGTGCAGAGATTATCATGCCCTGAACAGTCAACATAATTACTGTAGCAACAAAGGAGAAGCATTTGGATGCAGAGATTAGAGAAATAATGAGCACACAACAATGTTAAACTCAATACTTTGATCCTGACATAAACACAGGCAGCATAATCAAACTGATATGAGCAAATTAATAACCAAGAAGATATTTGAGTTCATGTAAAAGAGTTATTTCAGTTGTCTTACTTGGATGGTAAACGTCAGTGATGATGCCTTATGATAGCTCTCAAGCTGACTTCCAATCTTCTGTGCTGTTATCCATAAATCACTGGTCTCATCAACAGTGAGATCAGCAAATCGCTTAACTTCACGTCTTGGGCAGACAAGTACATGTATCTAATGTCAAGCAAAACAAACTAAAAACTTGGCTCCATCCTGTATATGGTTTCTCAACAAGCTGAATGAAGATTACACATGTTTATACCAAAGGAAAATCTACAAATTTCGGTATGTCAGGGCCTGATGATTTGGATGCTTAACATAATCAGGTCAAACTGTTCCTTCCATATCTTATAGGAGCATGGAACTGTGTAGCACCATAAACAACAAAATCATCCAGGCAAAACAATGCACTCAACCTTTTCCAATGCCTGGGTGGATAAGCATATTTACAAGATGGATAAGAAATTGATATCAACATCATGTACCTAAAGTTTATAATCAGCAGCTCTCGGCCCAGCATATTATGCAGCCCCGAGTATGTATTTTTTAGAAAAGAACACTATATCTATAGAAGACATGAGGTCTTGAGCTATTGGACGAATAAAATAAGGAAAATGGCATATATCCTACAGTCAGTGGCGGAGCCAGGGGGGTGCGAGGGGTGGCGCTCGCCCCCCCTGAAATTTGGAAAATCTTGCAATTAGTTTATGAAAAATTATCTAGCCTCCCCTGAACTTTGAAAATTTTAGTATTTTGCCCCCCCGAAAAAAATTTCTGCCTCTGCCCCTGCCTACAGTCATATTTCAATAGTAGAACTCAACCGTTTAAACTAGTAGATACAGTTGAAAATTACTTCAGCAGCAGCAGGATGCTTACATATCTCTGTCTATAACATGTTGCAAACTAACAAAACTGCACCTTGTTTTCAACTAAACTAAAGGCAACAAAAGGAAGTTACCCAGTTTAATTTTGGTCATAACTACATAACAAATATATGACTGAATCATTCACAGAATGTATCATTCTAATTTTGAATGAAAAACAGGATATGACCTGCAATGAACAAGGAACACCATAATCAGAACATATTAAGATGTTAGACGAAAGAGAAACAGACGAAAAGAACAACAGACATATATAATTGGGAAAGAGACTAATCTAACAATAATAATAAATTAAAAACAAAGTCGAATCCTTTTTCATGGATTCATAACAAGTCAACCACATACACATCTAAAGGGGAGGCAAGAAGGGCTTTCTTCTCTAAGCAGATCATAAGGTTCTAAGAAAATACCGATTGCAATGTCAAACTGAATGAAAGAGTGCGGAGGTTTAGACACCCCCAAAGCAAGAAAAAAAATTTTTTTTTTTTCTGAGGAAAACCCAAAGCAAGAAAATTGATAATACAAAAGGGAAAGGAAGAATCTTTAATACCAGGAACAACAGGGCGGAGGTTGACGAAGGCAAACGAAAGAGGGGTGGTGTAGAACACTTCTCTACAACTTATGGAATACGACCCGAAGGCATAACTCTCCGTTGACATCTGCGACGATTGTTTTTGTTAGCCATTAACTAGCAATTGAAGAATAAGAAAAAATTAAGTGGGTGTTCGACTATTTGCCTTGGCGGTGGCGGAGATCTGTCGGAACCCTTTAAAAGAATGTGAAATCAACCACCTCCGGCAGGGTTTTAGTCCAAGAGACGGCAGAAGCAACTGCACCTGTATCATTCACTCCTGCCGAGTCTTCCGTTCAGTCTTTTTTTATGAAGAAAAACAAAAGATGCCTCGCTTACCTTTACTTCTTAGAAAAATAAAAATGAATAATTGCAGTTGGGTCCTCC